GTCCCTACCAGCCATTCAGGAAGGAGCCAGGCACATACAGAACTCAGAGGGTCTATTTATTAGGAAGGAGATGTCAGTGCTTTATCAAAGATGAAGAGGTCAGAGAGGGACGGTGAGATAAAGGCCTCTCAGCTGGGACATTTCTTGGCCACAATGAGGACAGCAGAAGGCACAAGTCCTAAGATGGAAGAAAACAGCTTTGACCACAAAGATCCTTGCCTTTTGCCCCCCAAAGTTTCTGGCCTCATTCCATCCCCACAAAGTCTCTTCTCCTGGCATTCCTTCCTTTCTCAGGCATCCCCCTCACTCCCCCCCCCAAGCCCTCTTTCTGGTCCCAGGTGTCATACCCAGCTCCTGCAGAGGCCGTTCCATGTCAGCCTCTGAGAAGGCCCGCCGGGGGAAGCCACTGAGCAACTGCACAGGGTCCTGGTCTCCCCCAGGCTCTTCCCCGCGGTGGAGCTCCACATAGAGCCTCACAGCTGCCAACTGTTCCCGAGCCCGGAACGTCTGCGTCAGTGAGGTCCCATCTGGCAGCCTGACCTGGAGGGCAAGCGAGAAACACGGTGTTGGGAGCATCAAACCTGAGGAGGTGCCCAAGTAAGGAAAACCAGAGCTGCAAAGTTGGCTTCTGTTTCCTGTTCGAGAGACTGAACCAGCATAATTACTATCTGAAGCACCCTGATGAACAACCACTTCTTCTCTGCTTCACTAAGCAGTGAAGAGAGGCTCCAGCTTCCTCACATTTTAACACAAGGATAAGATCGTAACAAAAATACCTAAATACCCTATCGTGCAAATAGCTGCATAATAAACTAAATGAAAACATGAACTAAAAAGGTAACTGCTGAGGTAAAAGGGAGGTATGGATTTAAACTAAGACCAGGGCAAGAGAAATTTGATATCTTTCCAAGAGTAGAGGAGATAGGATTTCAAAAGTCACTTACAGAGAAGGAAGAGGTTTGGCAAAGAGAACCTAACTGAATAAAGCTCTGAGCCAGGTATCTTACAGGCCAACGAAGGGGTCCCAGAAGCAAGACAGGAATTAGAATCAGTACCTGTATGCGACACTGGTCATACTCCCGCTTGGTGGGAGGCTCCTGGCTGGGAGAGGAGGGAACAGGACCCGGCTCTGTTGGTGGAGAAGGCCGAGAACCCACACTCCCACCATACTGGAAGACAAAGGGAAAACTGATGAGGCCCTCACCCACTCGAGAGGAACATCGTATGCCAATCTTTTCCCTCTGAAGCTAGAAAAGGGAATTTTTTTTTTTTTTTTAATAGCCCACCTACTTCCCTACTCCAGTGTCTTCCCAATCACCTACCTTCTTGGCTCTCTCTGCTTTGTCTCTTTCAATCTTTTCTCGGACTCTCTGTCTGGAATGCAGACAGGAAGAAAGTAGGTCAGACGTTGACAAAGCAAACCTAGCTTCCCGTCTCCTCTATTATCCAACATCCCCATCACCCAGACCTGGCTGCTAACTCTTCAGCCTTTTCCCTCCTCCGCTCCTCAGCAGCCCGGCGCATCTCATCTTCCTGAAGCCGCTGTCGAGCAGCTGACAACTCCTGCCCTTGTTTCCTGCGCTGCCGTTCCCGTTCCAAAGCCTCTCGCTCCTCTCTTTCTTCCCGCTCCCGCTGCTTCTGGGCCATCAGCTCCAACATCCTGTGTTGCAGAAAAGAAGGAGCTCAAAAGAAATGGACATAGATCGAGAAGGTGAGTTTATAACCGGGATTCAAAATGAAACGCGGGAACAAGTGTGCAAAGAGAGATGAAAGAAACAGAAAGGAAACCGCCAAGGCAGGACAGAGGGAAGGCGTTAACTTCCAGGTTCTTTAATCAGACTTGTGTACTGTGGACAGGTGGAAGATGACCCTCAGAAACGTGCCACTGTTCCTTACTATACCTCTTAGTCTGTTCCTGTCTCTCCTCTTCACTCAAAGTGGGTTTGCCTTCTCCGGTTGTGGAGCCGGGTCCTACAAGCAAGCAATCAGTATTATTGCCCGTTCATCCTCCTCGAGCGCACGTGAATAACCACAGTGCCCCTCAGTCAGGACCTTCAGGGCCACCTTGCTCCGAGGAGGTGGGTTCCCTTCCCAGGACATGTCCAAGGGGGGTCGCGAGCGGCTCGTCTACATCGGGGTCGTCTTCGTGCTCCATCAACCTGGCAGGGAAAGTCGGGAGGGAGGTTAACACTGACGCTGCCCCTCCCAGCAGCCCCCCAGGCCCCTGCCACCCGACCTGAGCGCTCACCAGTCCATTGCAGCCTCGATGCCCTGGTTCCCTGTGAGGGCCAGAGCCTTCTCCCTGGGGGCAGAAACACCGTGAATAGCGCCCGCGAGCCATGGTGCAGGTCAGGCTGGGGCGTGGAGCCTGAGGCCAGGCTGGGGGAAAGGCCAGACAGGTCCGCGATCCCCGCGGGCCAGGGTTTGGGGGGCTGCCTTACGCGCGTCCCCTGGGGAAGCCCATCTCGATGAGACTCTCCAGAGCCGTCAGCTCCGCCATGGCGCCGCCACCGCCGCTTCCGCGGGGACCTGGGGGAGGGCGAGAGGGAGGGCGCAGGGGCGGGGGTCAGCGCGGGGTGCCCCCGGGCCGCGCGCGGCCCCGCCCCCGACGCCCCAGCTGGCCGCTCTCTCACTTACCCGGCTCTGGACCCTCAGCCGACACTGACGAGAAGAAAGCCGAGGGGAAGCGGAAGTGCCCGGATCTGTTTGGGTCACGTGGAGGCGGGCGTGGACGGGTGCCGCCGAGAACCAGAAAACCCCGGCCGGGCCCCGCCGCCTGAGCCCGGCGCGGGCGGGGGCGGGTGGTGGCGCGTCGGAGTCGCAGACCGGGAGGCGCCCCCGAAGCTGGGCCGCCCGGCGGCGGTGGGGAAGAAGGGTGGTGCGGCCCTGAAACCCGTGGGCGGAATGTAGCAAGCTCTCGATGGGGTCCCTGAGCGCAGCCAGTTGGAATGTTATTTGGCAATGTTGATCAGGAGCCATAGAAATGTGCTTGGTCTTTGACCTGCTCATCCTCTCCGGGGAATTGAGCCATCCTCCGCCCCACTGCCAAAGGGATTTTTGCAGAACACAGTTATCTGATCCTGTCATCACCTCCCTGCTTAAAAAATCTCCATAACGCCCCAGTTGGGCGCCTGGGTGGCTCAGTTGGTTAAGCGACTGCCTTCGGCTCAGGTCATGATCCCGGAGTCCCGGAATCGAGTCCCACGTCGGGCTCCCTGCTCAGCAGCGAGTCTGCTTCTCCCTCTGACCCTCTTCCCTCTCGTGCTCTCTGTCTCTCATTCTCTCTCTCTCTGAAATAAATAAATAAAATCTTTAAAAAAAAAAAAAATCTCCATAATGCCCCAGTCACTTAGGATGAAATTTAAGTGCTGGTAGTCTGGCTTCCTCCGTTTTATTTGTTGTTGTTGTTGTTGTTTGTTTAGAGCCCTCTGTGTAAAACTGAGAGTAACAGTAAGCACTTGCCTTCGGTGCCTGGCAAGACTGTACAGTGTAAATGTTAGTAGTGCACAGTGTCGTCTCCCACCACTTGCTGCTAACTTGTGCATATTGCAAAACAGGCCCTCTTGCTCTTCCAGGCCTTTGCACCTACCAGTCCCTCTGCCTGGGATGTCCCGCCTCTTCTGTGGGATTGGTTAACTCCCAGTCATTTTTGAGACTGGACCCCAGGTTTCCTTTCTAAGGGAATCCTGCTTTGACCACCCCCTTCCACCTCCCAGCTCCACTGGAGACTTAGGTGATTAATGCCTATTCAATCATCACAACAATCTATATGATTATACTATTATTAGTCATAGGAAACTCAGAAAAAGGAGATAATTTACCTAAGGTCACAAAGCTGGTAAGTAGCCAAGCTAGGATCCACACCCATGCGGTACGCATTCACCAAACCACTACATTAATTTGCCTCTCCATAGTGGAGTGAAGAACGTCTACTTTGGAGTTGGGCATCCTAACTCAACTCCTTACTTGTAGCTTCAAACCATTTAGAACTTCAAATTTCTCATCTCCTCCCAAGTGATTCTATCTCTTGGAAAGACTGTGAAGAGTAAATGAGAATGCATGCAGAGCATGTCTTGAATAATGAGATTGGGCCCTCATTTGTAAGTGAACAAATGTTGAGGAAATATGGGAAGCAAATAAAACAGGGACACAGCATTCACTACAGTGTGGTGTGTTAGAGAGGTTAAGTGTTCTAACACACTAAGTTCTT